CCAGGTAAATTAGGTGGTCCGAGGTAGTGTAAACCAGGTGGTCCGAGGTAGTGTAAACCAGGTGATCCGAGGTAGTGTATACCAGGTGGTCCGAGGTGATGTAAACCAGGTAAATTAGGTGGTCCGAGGTAGTGTAAACCAGGTGGTCCGAGGTAGTGTAAACCAGGTGATCCGAGGTAGTGTATACCAGGTGGTCCGAGGTGATGTAAACCAGGTAAATTAGGTGGTCCGAGGTAGTGTAAACCAGGTGGTCCGAGGTAGTGTAAACCAGGTGGTCTGAGGTAATGTAAATCAGGTGGTCTGAAGTATTGTAAATCAGGTGGTCCGAGGTAGTGTAAATCAGGTGGTCCGAGGTAGCGTAGACCTTTCCTTGTTGAGTTGCAACTCATATTGTCAACAAGATATGACACACAAACTGTGAATATTCGTTATGAGTTTGTATCACCTATAATTCACCACACTCTCACCTTCCACGTGACCTACCTACACGAGCATCAAGTAATATTACATAAGTTATTTTTTACTGTCACAACATAGATTTACTTTTTGCCAGTTGCGTGATGATTGTTTAATTTTTTATTAATACTCCTTAACTTATTGAGTTATTACTTCTGTTAATGTTTCACTCATTTCTTCTACTGCATCTTTTAAAATTAAAATCCTTCTGCTTCTTTTGAAACTTTAGTTCAGCAGTCTTTTTCCTGGAACGCAGCAAGTTGCTACCACTGCATTGTGGTCCAGTGTATTTTGGACATTATTGTCGAGTGTATTGTGAATGTATCGTAGTATCCTCATTATATAAAGATAATTCTTTTGTGCAGGCCTTTTAATTTTTGTCTTTGGAATGATTTATCAGCCAGTCCTAGTTCTGCTGAACTTATTTAACAAAGTTCGTAACTAGAAGAGATAATTGTTTTCTGTACTTCTTTATTTACCGCTCTATATTTTAAAAAAATAACTGAAATTGAATAGCTTATTTGTAAATATATATACAAATATAACATATTATAACTGAAATGTGACTGTATTTAACAAAATACTGGTCCACTAGAACAAACAAAAGACGGGTCACTTTGTAAAGGCCAGTTTTACATTATTGGATTTGGTAACGTGAGTGCATGTGTGCTGCATCATTCAACTTTTGTAATGTTAATCACCTGTTACAAAACACTTCACTTTGCATACCATGGCTGGGGTAGGTCTGTTGTAGGTCTCTTTCTGGATGGTCCTGGAACCCAAGATGATCCATATTCCTTTCCAAATTCCATTAAGTGCAAAGTATATCCCCATTTTGCAAATTCTAAGTCCCCAATTTGAAAGCATCTTTATGATCTGAGTGTATGAATATTTTGTGTCAGAAAAGGTTATAATATTTCCTTCCTGAAAGCAATTATTTTTCAGTGGCGTCACACCAAATAAAAAAATGCTAAACAATGCCCAAATGTAGTTTTGATAAATCCATTTCACCACACCTTTATATTGGCTGTGGTTGTTACAAGACTTGCTGATATGCTTATTCAACCCTCTGTATACTGACTGCCCTGAAAAATATTTTCTGAGGGAAAAAAAAAGAAAGACAAAATGCTCTATTGAGTAAAAAAAAAGAGATAATATTTATTAGTTTCACATTTTTTAATTTGTACAGGTGTTCAATCTGAACGTAAACCAGGGGCACAAGAAGGAAGAGATAAGAGTAGTTCTTCCTTGTCTGGAGCTGGGAGCTCACAAATGTATATGAACAGCGAATTGTATGGTTCTCCTCGTGTTGCCGTACCAACTGTTTCATCAGAGAAGGTACTTTCTTGTTACTACCGTAGTATATTGCATGATTATTGTAATTTATCTTTCTAGTAAATAATAATAATGTACAATGTAGAAGTGGCACCCTTTCCTGAAATGTAATATTGGGTGAGAACAAGTTAATAACAGATGAAAAGAAATATGGAGAACTGTAGCACTTCTTAATTTTTAGTCTTAGAAATTTCATTCTACTCGTAATTATGATTATTGTGTTTTAGAAAATGTATTGTGTTTGCTAGGGTAACAGCAGAGGAGGACGGCAAGAACCATTGTCAAGTGATATCTGTGTGTATAATCATAGCACTATGAATGCCGGTAAGTCCACTGTTTTTTTGTTTTTTTGTAAAGTAGGCTTTGCGTCATATTTGACGACCTTCAAAGAAACCAATCAGAGTAGTTTGTAGGAGCAACAAGTTATATTCATGTTTTTTGTTTTAATTTTGAAACATTATAAGTATTTTTAAAAGATAAAGTAAGCACTAGAATAGTTGTTATAAAGATAGTAACAAGAGAATTTTAACGGACTACGACTGCCTGTACGATGAAAAGGAATGATGTTTCGGCTTCTATACTGAGGCCTTCAAAGTCAAGTGGATGCAGTGATTGGCCTGGATCTGAAGAAGGCCTTTGTATAGAAGCCGAAATGTCCCTTTTTTCATTCTAGAGGCAGGTGCTGTCCACTCTGGTTAAAGTTCCACTGAAACAAGTAGCAGCTAATGTCAGTAAACTGTGTAAGATTTATAATGGCAAGTTGTAATGTTTTAATATTTCTACAGAAAATTGGTTTTGTGTAATAGACTTAGAAAGGTCGCCAGAAATCTGTACTTTAAAAGTAAGACCAAGTTACTAAACGAACTTCCAAATTTGACAGAATTCATCACTTTCAACAAATAATTAATTGAATGATAAACTCAAATTAAGCTATAGATATAGTTTTAATATTTAGTTATTAAAAAAGATGTATACACAAACTCATACATACATTATTTGTTTTTCTTGATTAGTTCTGTTATACTGATAATATACTAGATGGCATTGTTTAATGTTAAATTGTCCACCAGGTGACCATGTTTGGTCGTCAGTGGTTTTTATTTTTGTTCTTTACCTGGAAATAATGATTTATTATTTTCTGTAATTGTTTACTGTCTTATTTCCTTTAACCTTTCATAAATTATTGTCAAAATTATAAGCCTTTTAGACATTCAGAACCACATATCTCAGTTGTGTATTCCATGAAAGGGGTTGATGTATCTTGGCCTATTTCGATAAAGTGCATATTTTTAAAGTGAACGTATTTCACCTTTCAAACAGACCTGAGTACTCTGGCTAATGTTGTTACTACCCTGGAAGCAATGAGACAAAGTTCCGAAGAACTTGACCATAACCAGTCAGTCAGCAATGGTCATGCTGGTGAGAATGGAGATGGAAGGACAGGTGAAACAACTGCTATCTCAAGAGCTTTTGATACGATGGCTAAAGCTGCTTCCCAACAAAGTTCGACAACAATGGCTGGTGTGAGTAAAAATTCTTCATGATTCTTAAAACCAAGTTCTGGTGTTAAGTCACTTTTTTTATTTAATCACGATCAACCAGAAAACCGTATTAGCACTGATTATGAACGTTTGAATATGTTTGTTTTTTTTAGACAATGCGAGGTGGACCTGGACTTAATGTGGACACAGATAATGAACCACTTTTTGAAGTTGAAGGTAAGTATTCTTATCACCACAGAGCTAGCCGCTAGAGGGAGCTGTTAACTTATTATTTCGGTTAAATACCCATTGTCTTAAAATGATGTAAGATAACCCCAAATTAGTGTTGAATAGTATTAGAAATATTGATACAATGCATGGCATTGATCAGATCAGACATATTGTATCTGTTACCGTAATTGACACTTTAGTTATAAAGCATTATAACCACTAAATGTTAATCGATGTATTGAACAATGCTTATATTTATTTAAATAAAAAACTATCGTGAGATAACTACATCTTATACCATTAAATGACACTCACTCAGTAGTTGACCTGGGGCCAACTTCTTGTAAGCCTAAACAATGTTTTAATTTCCTTCTTATGTTAATTATTTCACAAAATAATTATGTCATAAAAAGAAGATTACTTTTATTATTATAATTTTGGCTATTTTATTCTGACACTAATAGAAAATGCAGGAAAACTTCCAACAACAAACCTAATAACTTCACGAGCTATCCCTAGTTCTTGTCACAAAATAACCAAAATATTCTTTAAATTATCATAAATAAATAGAATATGTATATTACTATATCATATTTTATGTTTGAATTATAAATTGTGTCAATTTTCAGATTGTTTTGTGGCAATCTGATGACAATCGGTTTTCTCTTCCCAATGCTTCAATGTGAAGCCACTTGCATCCAGCATGACGTGGGGTTTTCTTTCCCTAGTAACTCGCATGTGAAGTCACTTGTCTCCATCATGGGCATGGGTTTTCTTTCCCCTTTTACCTCGTGTGTAAAGTCACTTGTCTCCAACATAGCAGTGGTGTTTTCATTGACATACCTTATTTGTGAAGTCACTTGTCCCAGCAAATAACACTCAGTTCAAAAGGTCATGTCTAGAACTTGGAACTATTACAAAAATTTTTTTTCTAGAAGCTGAACACTTATTGTGCTAAAATAGGTTTTTTTAGAAACCCGAACAAGAAAAGTTAAGTGTTTAGTAATGATAAGTAGAGAACTTTGTGAAACTAGTATCACCACGAAGCATACTTGATGATTTAAATGGAGATCTACTTAGAAACAAAATATACAAATAAGTACCATCAGACAACCAAACTCTAAATTATGGGGCTTCGTCTTGTTTTCTAGAAACTTGCACGTGATATAACTATGACATTTCGGGAAGCAAGTACCTAATAATAACTGTTGTTCTTTATTAATTTTAACATTATTTCTGAAATGGTTTAAGATTACATTATGTTGCGATTATTTTACTTCTATCTTATAGGATTGTAGAAGGAAAAAATATACTGCTATTGTAGCTAAGTGTTTTGGTTGTTGTTAAATTAGGCTTAGCTTATATAGGAGTCTCCGAGGTTTTTGTAATTCAGAATAGTGAGATACATAAAAACAAAATGATGATTTTGTGTGTGTGTGCCTTTTTAACTTTGACTGGATTTTTCATATTTAGGCCTGTATCAATATGTAGGAATTGTAGAAAACAGCTGTCTAAAAGAATACGAGATGTGTCGATGTTTTTACGTTGCATGAAATATAATTTTACTCGTAAGAATTTTAGTGGACTAAATAAAAATGTTTGATTTCATTTCAGGTCCTCTTCTCTTAGACGACCATGCTATTTTCACCCTAACTCTCCCAGACCTCGGGAGGTCTTTCTTAAATCCTCAATATATCTGTGAGAGTGCTTCACGACTTTTATTCCTCTCAGTTCACTGGGCTCGTTCCATTCCAGCATTCCAACTCCTTTTGTAAGTAAAGGGTTAAAACTTAATATTAGATTTTGTTGTTGTTGTTTAAAAGAGTAAATGACGTTATTTATTATTTAATTTTTACGTCAAGTTTTTTAAATAAAAGTATTATTGGTCCAAGTACTTTACTCTTAAAAACTCAACACATTTTTCTGTAACATTATCAAGTTTTTTGTTTTAACTGAAAGCCAGAAATCTTAGTTCACGGGATATACAAAAGTAATTTGCTCTCATTTATTAACAAAACAAACTAGAAAGAAAATTTATATTGCAAAACTTTCGTCCCTGGATGATAAAAGCTCCAGGAAATATTTCCTTCGTAAAGAACATTTGAAGTTTCTATTTCATACCGATGAAACATCGTATCACACATTCAACTTTCTCCTGGCATTCACTATCTGATGTATAAAACAATAACCGATACTTATTACTCTCTTAACTCGCTTGCTACAGGCTTGTGGTCGATTCAACCCGAGTTTGTAGCCATCAAACTTTCCACACTATAACTTTTAATGTTTTAAATATTTTTGCAAAATTTGGCAAGTCTTTTGTGCACAGAAAATTAGACTTTTTAATTAAGTATTTGTAGTACAAATTTATCTGTAAATATATTAATTCAGGTTGTTGACTGCTCTGAGTGTAAAATGATTTTTATGTTAAGATTAAAAATATTTTTCTTTATCTAAAAATTGAGAACTTTCATTTGCTTAGTCTCCAAAACCTCCTAAATAAATATCAAACGTTTTCTTTCAGTAAAATTTATATTTAATCGTTTTTGTTTGTTTGTAGTTAAACACAAAATTAAAAAAGTATTGAAACTGAGTTTGTAGTGTAATAAGTCCACAGACATACAGTTGAGCATATTTTATCTGTTATTTCCTTTAAGTTAACTCTGTACCCTGCCACTTCACACATCCTTCTCACTTCTGGCATATCTTTATTGAGGGAATTAGTGCACAAGGAGGTGTGTTGTCCTCCTACTGGTGGAGGGCTTTTGCTGCATAATGATTTTATTATATTAGGGCGTCAAGAAATTGATGTCGTTTTTTTTAGATTAAAAAAACTCGAACAACTTATATATCAAAACAAAACATTTATTAAATGAAATTGTC